CGTTAGAAATAGTAACCCCCCCCCCCCTCCCCCTACCACAATGTTGGTTCAAACCAAGCTACGAATTTATTTCCATGATTGTTGATGTTCGAATTTCGATATTGTACATTTGATTTGCAAACAGGTTTGCATGATTGAATGCCCTTTGTGAAGGTAATTCCCCACAACAAGTTCTTTATATTGAAAAGATTCACAATTATTGGATACTATTAGGCCCACAGTTTTCAAGCCACCTCAAGTTTTCTTAAGTCTTCAACATTTACATGTTCAGCAAAAGCTGGTACTGGGTTGCTGTAGTCTGCTGTACAATGTTCTTTCTGTCGTGGAAGTTGCCTTGCTTATCTCGAAAAGCACTGCAGTATCAAGTTTCTCATTAGCAAGATGTGTACATGTTAAATAATCTGGGAAGAGGCGTAGCCAGGGCTGGGGTCGGGCGCCCCCCCCCCAGGCAAAATCCCCCGGATAAAATGTATTGTATAAAAAAGGAAATCCTTGATTATATAGCTTCATGCTGCCAATAATGCAAAAATTCTGTAGAATATATGCTTTGCTGCGCATCGGTGTGAAACCTAAAATCTTGTTCACTTATTTAATGCGGCAAACAGCTTGAAACACATACCTATTTTAACCATAATAATTTTATATGTATTAAATGAGGTTAGATGAAGTTTAACTCCAATCCAGTGTTTTTCACCAGTTAATTTTTAACGCGGGCTCGTCAGTGGCGCCGTGGCCGCGAGGGAGTCCGGCCAGGGGGGGGGAGACCTGTCAGGATTTAAAATGTTCTGATCCGGAAAATTTTTTCTTGCGCGAACTTTGCGTTTCGAGTCACTGGCGACTTGGCCCCACCTGGGTTTTTGCTGCCCCCCTGACCAAAAATCCTGGCTACGCCTCTGCATCTAGGACTTCAGTTTAATAATTCAAGTAGATATAGTAAAAATATTTAAAATAGCAGGGCAGCTACATGTTTACAGCAACCACCTGTAAAGTGCAACTTGCACAGAAATTTTACCAGTGCCCCAAGTGCACATAGACTACATAGTGTGCCTTTTTCATGGAGGCATGCACAACACTTTTAAACAGGAAAAACTTTTCTGTGCCTTTCAAAACATTAGCCTTGACTACAACCTGGGTAACCACTTTATCTTTGAACAGTCGATAGCCATACTCTTTATATACTTGTGAGCAGTTTGTAGTTTTCCAAGTTTACTTGAGTAGTCAGTTATCAATTGTTCCTTCGATAATGCATGTACGGGTAAATGGGGGAATACCACTGAGATTTTTTGTCCACTGTATTCCTTCCTCCATATTTATGAACGGTAAATTAAACGGCTCGAAAATTGGGCTTTAAATTTGACTCGCGTAAATATGTTGTAGTTTAAAAGAGACACTTGAACAGCAGTAAATAGTACTTAAACACGTACTTTTTAAATCTTTGAAAACCTTTGAAATGTAAAAGCTCAGTATTTCAAACAGCAACTGTTTTTATTTTATGCAGCAAACAACCTCAATGTTTTAGAACCTGCAAAAGTGTAAGTAAACTCGCTAGATATGATGAACGTGTTGCCATTAAACTGAAAACTTAAGGAAACACCTGATTCATTTCGGTGCACGTATTCGGAATATAATGTATACTAATTCAATAACTACAATGGTTGGTTGCTGGTACTCACTATATTTTAAATTATATATTCAAGAAAATACATATTCATTTGTTAAAAATGATAAATCGGTTGCTTGTGCAGTTAATTGTGCTGCTTACTGTAATTTAATATGACTTATTCATGACATTTCAGGCTGTTTTTGTTTTGATTTAAAAAAAGTTATTTTAAAATGTTTACATTAAGTTTGCTACGTTTTCTTTTTTGAAATTTATCGGTGTCTTTAAAATTCTAATACTTTATGTGCAGTTACATGCGAAGTAGTGCTAATGTAAGTTATGTTCACTTTTTCAGTCCAAACGAGCGTGGTCGGATTTTCATTGATGTGGCTTTGAGGGAATAGTGGTATCCTTTCCATGCGTACCAGTTGACACCATCCGCGTACGATCCATGTGCACCATGATGATACAGACCATTTAGATTGGATGCATGACATGACCCATACCACCAAGCGCCTTTGAATTGAACAGCACAGTTGTCTGAACTTGAATCATTGTCAGAATCTTTAGTCGTGAACGCCATACCTTTATGGGTTGTGAATGAATCTCCTGCAGTACCTGAAAGCAATTAAAAGCAAGAACACATTTACCTGAATACATCTTATGATCTTAAATCTAATTATTCGGGCGCCGGTTGCTCAAAAGCCGATTAGCGGTAACCTTAGCTTAAAATTTAAATTTAAAGTAAAGTTCCCTGACAGAATGAATGAATGAATGAATCTCCTGCAGTACCTAAAGACAATTAAAGCAAGTTATTTTAGATGCAGTAAATATTAGAAATAAAATTTTATAAAGAAACAGAAGAAATAAGATAAATATATAATAATATATGGAAAGAAACAACTAGGGATCCAAGTGTAGTGTAAAGTTTCAAATTGAAAAAGACACTGCAAGAACTATATAGGGTCGCCGACTACGTAGAAAAGCTGATGGCTTACACTACGAAATAAACAGTTACCATAGGCATTTCATCTCACTATCATCTCACTACCTCGCGGTACTGAATAACTGATACAAGCAAATTGTTTCACCAACCAACAAATTTTGCATATTCTAAATCTTCACTTGCATTGAGAGCTGTCGTTAAAAGTCTCCCCACGAGGCTACTGATATGCTAAGCTTATGTAAAATTATTCTTAATATTCCCATCATCTTTTAGCGCCCATATTGCACATTTGGCTATTGTCTCAGTGACAACTTTATTTGAAAAAGCTGTATAAGATATGTTTTGAGTAATAATCACTACGACGTTGCATCCATTACAAAAAACATCAATCGAAACACGCAGAAACGTAAAAAATGAGCGAAAAACCTCGTTAAAGGATTAGTGTCACACCAGGAATTCCCGGGCTCAAACTCCTGTTGGCGGCCATTTTTCGGGAAGAATAGACTAGATGATCTGGAAAGTGTTTACAATCCGTCATATATTTAAACCATCCTTTTATAATCCTTGCTCTTTTTGTCTGATTCTTATCAGAAATGTACAAAACAAGGTATTTTTATTGCTATTTGTCGTATTTGAGTAAAATGTAAACAATAACAAAAGTCCGCAATGCATGACCACACTAATCCTTTAAAATGACGCACTTTATCCCCATCCGTTCCGTATTTTATCCCCATGTCCGTTCCGCATCCGCTTTCGCATTTTAACTTAATTGTGACATATTTCACAATACAAGGCTAGCTTATTTCACGTTGTGTTTCATCAGTCATTTTCAGTTTTTCAGATGTATTCAATCAATAATGTCGCTTTGGATTTCAATAGTTGCACACTTATAGTAGTGTTTATAGCAGTTTTGACAAGCTTTGATACAGAAAGATCCTCGTAAGATCTGGTAGAGTTCTCGTTGCATTGAACACAAGTTTGTTCCGTTGTGCTAGACAGTAAACAAGGTAATCTCATTGCCTTTTTCTTCTATTGCATAAAGCTTGTAGGCAAGTCAAGCGATTGGGGATAACATGTTGGCTATCTCCTCGCCTTTCTCGTTTAAATAATAAGCTCTTGATATTTCTCACACGTCACCAAAGCTTGTAGAATCAAGGAATTTTAAGCATTACAAAACATTAGAATTCAAAAGGGATCTTTCTATCGCACTTTCGAATTGTGATTGGAGCACTGATGATCCAAATGCGCTTTGGAAACAATTTGAGGACAGGTTCAATGAGGTTTGAAATTTACATGCTCGTATTAGGCTAAAAAAATTTAAAAGTAAATATACCCCCTGGATGAATGAAGAAATAATAAAGTTAATGAACTATCGTGATACGTTAAAGAAGAAAGCAGTTAAAACTAAATCCTCTTGCTTGCATATGGCCTACAAAACAGCTAGAAACGATGTCAATAGATTGATTAAAAATACGAATGCTAGTTATTTTCGAGAGGTATTAGTAATTCGAAAAACAACTCTAAAGAAATGTGGAGAAACAGAAACCAACTTATTGGTAAAACATCTAAAACAACAAATGTAACTTCAGTCAAATCAATTGATCAAATATTTACCAATAAGGATGATATTACTGAATCTTTTAACGATTACTTTTCAAAAATTGGTACAGAATTATCCAACAGGATTCCACCAAATAATAAAGGATTTGAAGAATATCTTGAGCCGTCGGTTAGTGCTGTTTTTCAGTTCAAATCGGTTTCTCATGATGAAGTTGAAACTGTTTCAAGTTAGCTTAAAGTCTCCAAATCGAGTGGTCAAGATAAAGTACCAGTAAATATTTTGAAAGACTCCATTGATATACGTTATATATACCAAAAATTTCAATGTAATAAAATAATAATTTTTACGTTTTGGGACAAGCCCCTTCTTCAGAAAAATGCTACATCATCTATGTCTCTTGCTTAAATAGTCTAACATTTGCATACACATAAATTAATTAAACCTCTTCCCTTAATAGTCTAACATTTGCATATACATAAATTAATTAAACCTCTTCCTCAAGCATACTGATGCACATCAATATTTGAATTTTAAATTAATCTTGTCATGTCAAGATAGCGATTCCTTATAGTCAAGGTTTGCGCTTAAAGCGAATTTGTAATTCGGAAAATGCTTTTGAGGAAAAACTAAGGGGTTTTTTGGTGAAGAGGGGTTATAATTCCGATTTTGTTGATGACCAGTTTGGCAGAGTGAGAAAAGTCAACAGGAATAATTTGTTAATGCGGAAAGAAGGGGCTAAGAATAGTAACTGTGTAGCCACGATATTGATAGAACTCGTTAAGTTTTCAATAAAATGTGTTTAATTAAAATAATGGTTTACAAAAAATAGTAAGAAAAATATATTATTAAATGTTCTTTTCGAAATAATCGCCCGATCAAAATCCTCGATAAACCAACAACAAAGTAAATTCCCCAGAACCCGGTCAAACTGGTTTTTCACGAGGACAGTTCCGCGCGTGACGACTGCCACGCGAATCTCTCGCACTATTCTAGCGCCTTCTGAACATTCCCCCTCCCCGCACTAAGGCGACGAGGTGCGAACAACTGAAAAATGTCAACTATTTATAGTTCAATCTCGTTAACACGTTCTAAAGCGGAATCAATTTATGGATTGGTCTCACCATCGTTTTGCATCCATATTGTACTTTGGACACTCTAGTATGGCCGTCTCGTCCAGGATAGGTTTCCACGATTCTTCCGAGTGTCCATCGCCCTCGCGGTAGATCCTTTTGGAACGCCAAGACCACATCGCCTTTCTTCAATTCTTTCACGACTTGGTTCCATTTCGATCTGGGTATCAACATTGGCAAGAACTCTTTTAACCATCTGTACCACACTCGGAAGATCAGCTCCTGCACTTTCCTCCATAGCTTGCGAGGGTTGAACTGCGTAGTATCCACATTTTCTGGCGCGAAGTTTCCCCCCATTTGACCGTGAATGAAATGGTTGGGCGTTAATGGAACATCATCTCTAGGGTCCGCGGATTGGTATGTCAGTGGTCTTGAATTTAGTAGGCCTTCTACCCCGGTACATATCGTCACCAACTCTTCATCCGTCACATTACTGTTACCCATAACTGCATGCACGGCTTTTTTCGCAGCATTCACCATGATGTCAAAGACGCCCCCAAAATGTGGAGCTGCTGGAGGATTAAAGTTCCATTTGACACTTACGTTGGTTGCGCTTCTCTTGATCTTGTCCTTGTCAAGTTGGCAAACAAGTTCTTTCAGCTCGTTGACGGCGCCCACGAAATTGGTAACATTATCACTTACCATTTCTTTCGGAATACCCCGTCTGCTTGTAAATCTAGTAAATGCGTTAAGGAAGCTATCTGTGTCCAGGCCCCACTCGACTTCGAGATGTACCGCTCGCGTGGACATGCAAGTAAACACACATAACCAACGCTTGTTCCTCGTTTTGCCTCGTCCTTGTATCGTCTGGAAAGGCCCAGCATAATCAACAGCCGCTTGGTCAAAGGCGCGATAGGTGAGGCGAAGTCGGCTCGGCGGAAGAGGTCCCATAATTTGCGCACCGGCTTTGTTCTTTTTCTTCTACACGTGTTGCATTCGTTCTTCCATTCCCGGATTTCCTCCCTCGCTGCTGGGAGAAAATTTGTACCGGCGGTGTGATTCGATAGCTCGTGGAAATCTTTGACTATCAGTTTAGTCACCCAGTGTCCCCTTGGCAAGATTATCGGGAATCTGACGTCGTACGGGAGGAATTCTGCAAATCTTAGTCGACTGTCCGACCAAATCATTCCTTGTTCATCCAGCCGAGGATTTAGTTTCAGCAACGTACTCTTGGGTGGCATTTGTTTTCTGGTCTTCAGGGCTTTGTACTCGTCACTAAACGCGTCTTGCTGTGCACGACAAATGACACTTTCTTTCGCGTCACGTAACTCCTCGGGAAGCAGCTCGTGGTCGCTCACACGTTTCTCCGAATTTCGCGTGTTATGGATAAATCTTCTAACTCTCCCGAGCATGCGTACCAATCGTGTCCAGTTGGAATACCGTTTAGGATCCAGCCTCCAGACCGTTGACTTCTTGTGTGCCTTCCTGTCTTCGACTGGGCGTTGGTAATAGCAAACTGTCGCTGTCGCAACCGTTTATTCAGCTTAGGATAACAGCTTAGGTCTCGAGGTGTGCAGACGTGTACTCTGTGCTCCTCTAATTTTATACTATAGAACAGGGCGCTTATATCTACCTTAGTTTACTAAGCATGGCAGTAAATCTGTGTACAAATCTCAAAGTCATAGGTGAAAAGCCTTATTGGGGCGGTACATTAAACGATTTAAAAGAATTCGTGTCAAATGAATTGAAACTTTCTGGCGGATGGACGTCGCCTGGTGGTGAAGTAGTGATACAGCCAATGTGAGTTTGAAATGGCATAGTAAAACCACGAAATCGATTACCCTGTTTGGAGATTCAATAGAAACAAACGATCTAAGTAAGTTGCTATCGACTATGTGTAAAGAAAAGCCCAAGAATCTGGTTAACGACGCTGTTAAATGGCAAGGCTTTGATGGTTTCAAACAGCAAATGTTGGAATTCACTGAAAACATGAACACGAAAATGGAAAGCCTTAGAACTAAGGTGAATCAATTAAAATTTAAAGTTGATCCATTGCTTACTTCAGAGAACGTCGTTGACGAGCTAAGGAACGACAAACTAAATCTCATGAAAGAAACTCTGAGTTGCGCGAGAAAATGCTGAATCTTAGTCTTACTACATCATATTGTTAACAGGTCGTCGCTGCTATGCCAGGAGAGCCCAAGAGTTTTGACGGCTGAAATTGGGCTGTCACTTATCGATAATTCAGTTGCTCGCTCTTCCTTTGGTGTTGATGCGATGACCGCCGGGGAATTTGAGATCCACTTCCGCGCTTGCATACCGGCTAAATTCCAAAGATCTCTCAGTTGTTGGTATAACTCAATGCCCTCCTAGCGTTTTCTTGGGCCACGAATTGCGATTCCATCGGCGCAGAGTTTTTTCCAAACACTGCACGATTAAATTCGTAGACGTCTGTTTCTCAGTTACTGTTCAGGTCACGCCACAACAGCCGGAACATCGGACGATCGCACTCCTCGATCTCAACTTGAAGGTACATTTCTCTAACATCGCACGCCACCGCCACAGGTTTGCGACGAAAAAGAATAAGTACATGTACATCAATCAATTCCTTTTGTAGCTTAGGTCCCGCGTAGATGACATCGTTTAACGCGACTCCGTTACACTTCGCTGAACAGTCAAAAAACAATGCGCACTTTCGTGGTGGTCTTGTCCATCCTTACGACGGGAAAATGTGGAAGGTACCACACTTCGGATGGAAGCTCTTCCTCACTCTTGACACGGCGCAGGTACCCTTTTTCAATGTACGCTTCGATTGTTTTCTGGTATTCTGTTCCAAGAAATTTGTCCTTCCTTAACTTTTTCTCCGTATTGCGCAGACGAGCGGACGCTTCTTCATAATTATCTTTCAGTTTAGGTCGGTTCTCCTTCCACGGAACTCCTATCTTGTACCGAGTGCCGTCATGGCTTATTGATGATTCCATCTTATTTAATACCAACTGCCCCTCTTCCGTATACACTTTCGCACCATTACCATCAGTATCATAATTTTCCACCTCCCAGAAGCGTTTAATACTACGATCCACTTCACAACACGTTCCCTCCACGGATTTCTGTGCAGAATCTCTAGTCAACAGAGTTCGTATGACATGTGTCCTTGACTGTGAAGCATCCTCACGATCTGTTGTTCCGATACAAGTCCACCCGAGTTGACCCAACCGAGCAATCGTGGCTCCAGGTTTCCCACGAATGTCAGTTCTGGAGTAGTGTAAATCCGCGTTATCTGTTCCAATAAGCAAATCCACCATCCCATCTTTGGCCGGCTTTGGAAAATCACATCGTGTTAAATGTTCCCATCTTTCCTTGCTAACACTCCAGTCTTCCACCTTGTAATTTCCCGTAACCTTTTGAGGGCAGGTCTTCACACTAATGTTCTTACAAAACTGTTCGTCGACACTTTCAATAGTAACATTTACTGACATTGACTCAAATGTTTCAATCTCGTCATTCAGGACGTCTACTTTGACTGTCTGCAATGGTTCTTGAATTCCAACACTCCTGCAACCTCAGCATTAAGGAATGTCTCGTTTGATGCATCATCGAATAGCGCATTAACTTTCACCTTTCGATTGTTCGCTTTCGACCATACTGGAATTGTTCGTAGTGAGAGTGCTTCAGTGGCTGGGGTATCATGCATTGTGGTATGTGTGCGGGAATCAGTTTCTCCCTCCCGTGGAACAACCGGATTCTTGTCCTCCGGGCGTTTAACTGGTGGGGCAGAATCATGCAGCAGGGCATGGTGATTCTTTGTACAACCATCAGTCTTACAGGCTTTGGACCCAAGGCATGCCTTTCCCTAGTGGTCACTCCCAAGACAGCGAAAGCACAAGTGCTTAACTTTAGCTATATTCCATCTATCTTGAACCTTCATATCCTGAAACCTCTGGCAAGACCATATACCATGGTTTCCCTCACACAATGCACAAGGTGGCTTCACATCCTTACCACCAACTCCACCACGACCAGCAAATAGTGTACGGGACCGACCTCTATCACCATATCTAAACTTTCCCCCACCAGCTTCATTCCTTTTCAACGACAAATCGATACCTTCAACACCATGAACCATTTCCACAGCTTCCACTCTCACCCTAACCTCTTCCTTCAACCAATCCTTCAAGCTTAACACTGACCTCTCCATTTTATGTTCCCTAAGCCAACGACTATAGCTTCAACCTGTCTTTCTGCAAGCTTTTTGACCAACAAACCATGCAACGTACCTTCCCCCAACTCTCCATCCCGACCCTCTGCCTGCAACTTAACAACGGTTATCCGGACAAGATTTGCGAATCTCTCAAAGCCCTGCACATCACTACCCTTCAGGGAAGGCAATGCCTCTAGCTGATCCATATAAGCCTGCAATTGTCGCCTTCGCCCCCCAAACTTTGTCTTCAGAATTTCCTTAGCCTCCTCGTATTCAGGCGAAGAAACCCCCAACCCTCGAATAGCTTCAAGCGCAGTTCCTTTTAAACTCTGACGCAATCTGGCCATTTTTATATTGGCTGCCTCGTTTCCGCTAACCACTAAACTACTGAATAGTCCCCAGAAGTCCACGAAACGTGTTTTATCACCCTCGAACACAGACAATTTAAGTGGGTCAAGCTTATGTTTTGATACCCAAACGTTATTTCCCGTATTATTTTCTGCTGCTAACAAATTCTGTTGACTTGTTGGTGTGTGTTGAATGTTTACAATACTGACTGGTTCACTTGCTTGTTTTGATTTAACTTGCAAAAATTCGTTAATTGCGCCCTCCGCCCTTTCAATTGCTTGTAATGTTTCAGATTCAAAATTTTCTGCCTCTGTATTCGTTGTTGCATTACTGTCATGCTTACCAATTTGCATGTCAGCATGACTGAGCTCATCCATAACACTCATGCTTTGCTCTAGCAACTCTCATAAACCTTCAATTTGCCCTTCAATTGATTGAATGTCAAGCTCACCTTTTTTTGCACATAATCTTCCCAAACTGTGTCGGACTTTAGTCACTGCTGGGGTTTTTTAAATCTTGTTACGTTTCAGTTCGAGAATTCTTTCATAACTTTCATGCTTATCATCCTTTGCACTGGCTGAACTTCCACTTGTCTCGACCGTCTTTTCCTGTCCTTGAATTTCCTCATTGTCACTCATTTTTCCCGATTTTTACGACGATAAAATAGGCAAAATACAACGTTCGAATTAACTCCAACTAAATTACCAATAATTCCAAACGGAAAACCTGTCAGAGTCCGATACTATAACTGTTAACGATTTAAGATAAGTCCACCAAACCACGCATGACTCAATCACGTTTTTCCTGGCAGGATAGCCATAAATGTAGCCACGATATTGATAGAACTCGTTAAGTTTTCAATAAAATGTATTTAAAATAATGGTTTACAAAATATAGTAAGAAAAATATAATATTAAATGTTCCTCGATAAAACAACAACAGAGTAAATTCCCCAGAATCCGGTCAAACCGGTTTTTCACGGGGACAGTTCCGCGCGTGACGACTGCCACGCGAATCTCTCGCACTATTCTAGCGCCTTCTGAAGAAACTGTTTTGTGATAGATTATCATCCAGCATTGAGGGTTCTTTATAATAGGGAATTGCAAGTAATTGTAAGTTGGTTTGAAAGGTTTTTAAGTATTATGACGGAGCGAACCACCAATGATGTGTTTTCGTCGAGTTCTCGAGTGTATTTCATAATTTCCATACCCAGCGCAAGCAGAAAGATATTGTCTGCCGCGGCTGGGTCTTGAACCTGCGACCTTCGAATTACTAGATCGACGCTCTACCAACTGAGCTACACAGTCAGATGGATTTAAGACTGTAAATTATGAGCTATGTACTGAATGTCATAAACATACTCGTTTATATTAATTCAGCATCGAACCATACTAGTTCTGCAAGTGTTATGTTATGTTGTGTTATTGTTCACTCCGTAATATGATCCCCGAGCCGACGGCTCGAAGCGCCGTGCGAGGGTACTAATTCCGCCAGGCTATTTACACCCAGGGGAAAGGAACGCACTAGCGAAGTCTAAAGTTCATCAAATATCGTGGGCGCATGGCTCACCGTTCATGGGTGGTCATCCTCACTGATCTCCAAATATGTAGTGGACTGTCGTGAATAGTGAACACTCATTGGTCAAATTTGAAATTTGCATTCTAACGACTGCCTTGACGACAGCGAAATAACAAACATTTCTTGCAAGTTGTATTTTTGCAAGATTTTGTAAATTTCAAAACCTTTCTGAGAGCAAAAAAAACGTCTAAAAACGTCTAAAAGAATAGGGCAAAGTCGCCGACGTTAATGAAGGTAAGTTTGTTTTAAATATTGATGTACTGTATTGTTTGTTGTATAATTGATATATTTATAACTGATAGTGGTGAGTGATACTGCGAATATCGAACTGATACTATTATTGCGTATATAAGTGAAAAAAGACAGCATATAATTTCAGTGTAGTTTTATTAATTACCCTCTCTTTTGTATATTAGAATATTTAAATAAAGAGGAAAGCAAAGTTATTTTCATGCGAGAATTTGAAATCAGTTTATTTCAAACTCAATGTTTACCGATAATTCGCTAAAAGGCCCTTGAGATTTAAGAATATTTTAAAGCGTTTTCGGTTTGCGAAGCGTTTGTAGTTGAATTTTACATTAAGGCCTCGATTACACTATACCGGATTGCATCGAAGCGACGCGATTTCTGTACCGGATTGGCCTCTTGTTTACACTACGCCACTATAATCCGGTACGTGCCGCGGCGCGAAAATCACTTCGCTTTGGAGGTGATATGAAAAGTAATCCGGTACGTGCTGTACCGGATAAAACCAAGTGTAATCAGGCAATCCGGTACGCTCCGGTACTATAAATAGGTTTCGGCATGTATTTTTTAACATTGTCGTTTTATTTACTCGCTTTTAAATATTTTATAGCTGTTGTTTCCTTCGCTTTACAATTATTTATTATTTCTACTTATTCTAGCGAAGACAAATAAAGATAGCGGTAATAACATTGACTTCTTGCTTTCGATCAAAAGGGCAAAATTTAATGAAATACTCGTCAATTTTCGATAAGAGCGAGACAAAGCAACGTCGGGTGGTCAAGCTTTGTAAACAAAGTTATAATTCACAAGTACTGTCGAGAAAACGTCCAAAATGGTCAAAACTTATTATTTGTTTCCATGGCAACGATAAAAGATACGAGCTGGCAACAGAGCGAAGCGGCATAGTGTAAACACCCTTGATTTTGGCTTCGGTGTGAAAATTGATACGGTATGAAAATCAATCGTATCCGGTATAGTGTAATCCCAGCCTAAATTGACGATTATATTACGTATAATAATATACCTAGCATATATATGTTTGGAAAGTTGATAATTTTGTTAATAAAAGTGATATTTTGGGGGGATTTTTCAATTTGAAAAGTATTCTTAAAATTATCGTGTTACCATGACAACTACTTTCAATTCTTCATATTCCGAAAACATAATGTTTTCTCAGTAAGGCGAGGGTTTCTGCCTGCATGTATTTTCTAGTAAGTAGAAAATGTTCTCGAGTATGTATTTCATAAGTTCCATACCCAGCGCAAGCAGAACGATATTGTCTGCCGCGGCTGGGTCTTGAACCCGCGACATTCGAATTACTAGATCGACGCTCTACCAACTGAGCTACACGGTCAGACGGATTTAAGCCTGGAAATTATGAA